GGGGCTACACACCCAAGACTGTTCAGAACTACGGCTGCAAATCTGTTTCAAGTTTATTACCCATAAGGCTGGCAGTGAAGTGTGAAGTGGTACCAACTGCTCACCCTCTCAAATTTCTTCCCATGCAGTTGTTGTTCGCTTTAAAGTAATAATGTCTGTTCCCTAACCTGTAGCCTCTGTGCATAACTCTAGACGTGACCCTAGTCCACTTTTCCATTGCACAAGGTGTGACCGGAAGTCCGATTACTTGATCAGGCCTGGGTACTAAAGTTGTAAGCTGAAGCATGAAGCGAAAGACATGTCCATATTTGCCGATAATATATGTTAGATTAGTGTTCTTTCGAATTCTAGAGCTCACATCACATCCATCCCCTCACGTGTTGTTAACATTCGGTAAATACTCCGTCAAACGTGTTTGAAACCTTGCCGCAGTTGAAATAGTAGACGAGCCGAGCTGAACGTGGAACAAAATGGCGTCCAATTCTAAATCCTCTCGTGATCTCTTGATTTCTGGCGTTCGTCGAAGAATGTAAACATTTATTGGTGAGTCAAAGGTTTTCTTGTTTAGTCGTTAGACTAACTGTAAGTTTTTAACGTGAATAAGGGTCAGCAAGTCGTTTGCGTTCAACCATTTATTGTTTTACGGATTAAAATCTATACGTTTAATTTGTTACCCAATCTCACATAAGGCCATTTGCATTTGTTATGCCTTTTCGTTTATAGTCTGTGGTATATTGTTAAGTTTAAATTAGACGTGCTACGATTTGGTTTTCTCTGACCCTTATTCCGTCCTCTGCACTTTCCCTCAGGGCTTGAAAGGTTATCTGCTGTAATACAATTCCTTTCGAATGTAAAAGTAAGCTAAAATCTTGCACTGATAAATTGTAAGTGAAACATATGACTCTCCCTGACCCCTCAATGTAGACTTGCCGGGAAACTCATGTTAATATTGCCAGCACAAAAGCTATCAATCCATGCTATAAATATTCATAATTTCATATGAGTTATAATTAAACATACTTTCACCATATTTCACAATTTTAAAATAAAATGTAACATTTTTCCAAGTGATGTCAGACCAAATAGGAAACTATCTGGCTCTCATTCACAGTAAAGGCATGGGAGTCAATTAACGTGACTGATCCCATTTCCATAACTTCAATCCAACTCCTATTTGGCTCTTGTGCAGTGTATAGTGCATTTTTTGCAACCTCATTTGCGTAATGGTTAGCACCAAGAAGTCTAGGTTCAAACACTAGTTGGGGTCATTGTGTTTGGTCTTGCAGGGTTGCAGCTAAGAATATAGTCTCCTGGTGAAAATTTTCATTGAGCCGGTCACCATTTTTCACGACAGACCTGAAACAAAATTTTCACTCCCAATCTTTTGCAATGCCTTGAATGCAGGGCTACCAAGCTTAGCGTTTACAAGATGGTGGATGCAGCACACGGAAAGAGAACATACTAAACAAGTGCTCAAAACAAGATTTCATTTCAATTACTTTACTTGTTATAGTGGCACCGATACTCAAGGTCAGGAATTGATTCCAAACTCTTCATTTAGTTGATTTAGGTGGTTCGATATGGTTCAGATATCGAATGATTGTCTGTGCGTAACCTAAAAACCTTTCGCTGTCCTTTCCCAAGTGATTGCCCGCCAAATCCATCCAACAATCACCACTTTCTCAGCCAGAAAATGTTGCCAACAGCCGGTGCTTAGCAACAACCCAGACCTTGGGAAAGACATAGTCTGCACTGGAGCAAAGAATCTCATACTGCTAGATGAGAGCTTAGTGTGGTTTTCATAACATTAAACTTCTTGGAGAATCTCTGTTTTTCGCAGATGGGATGAAAGTCCAAGAACATGAGACGGTTTCCCCAATTACTGCTCAATCCAAATTGTGTGGTTCCAGAAAATATCCATATTCCCCAGGAGGGCTACTAGAAATTCTAAAGAGGAGGGAAGTCACAGAAGCCAACATTTTTTTTTTACAGGAAACTGGAATTTCTAGAGGGAAAGGGGGGTTCAAACCAAAAATCTCTCCATGGGAAGGGTATGGATACCATTGGTCCACCACATTTGCATATTGAGGAAGGTGACATTCATTGTTATGTTCCAAACTGGGGTGGATCAGTCCAACTCCCTAAATGAAAGAAATGCGACATCATAACTCACTGACTTGGCCTCGGAATGCTGGAAACTCCACTTCCGAGGACCTAAATTTTAAAAGTTTTACTGGGGAGGATGTCCTCCCACTGGATGTTTTTGCAGTGCAGCATCCAAAACTAGAGTTCTTCTTTCTTTTAACAATACTTTTCGAACTGAGAGGTAATGATTGTGAATGTAGTGAAAATCATAACAAATACTTTATTTAAGAACTCCAGTAGAAAAAGTAAGTCTTATCTCTGCTTGTCAACCAATCAATCAACTTTATTTAAAGAGGGTGACACATGACACTATAAACTGATTTAAATTAGTTGCCCTCTATGCTAAAAATCTACGAGTAATTATAAAATAACTAAGTATAGTACAAAGTATGGACAATAAAAAGTTGCAATGAATAAAAAAGTATGTGTATAAACGTAATTACAATGATTTAAAAATTCCTAACTATAATAATTACTATTATTAAAATTAACCTGACTACATACACGCAAAATTATAAAAGAATAAAAGTTAAAATATTAAGAGATTGTAAAATGATCAATATTAGCAGCCCCCTTGCCAAAAACCCTTACCCTATCTATGATTTTGCATACCCTATTTATGACCTGACCAAAAATTTGATATGAACCCATTTATGAACTGATCGTTAAATCCAAGACTGATGTTAAAGGCATTATGAAGGGCTTTGGTTGATAGACTCTGATTTATTGATAATGATGAAAAAGTAGCTTCTTCTCAAAAACATACCCAATTCAAGAATAGAGAGCAAAAACCACACACTATTTAAGACCAAAATGGCCAAAATCGATACCCTATTTCTGACCAAAAAGGCAAAAGAAAAACATACCCTTTGGCCCGCATATACCTATATAGCCCATATAGGGGAGTATTCCCCAGGGATTTAGCCAAGCGGTTACCGTTGCTGAGAACTGGGCCCTGGAGTGAGGGTTGTGGGGGAAAGGTGTCTTGTATAGAAACTGCTAGGAATGAGTAATGTGGTCTTCTCCACAAGTTTCCTTTCTCGCCCCTCCACTTCATTAGCCCTGAGAGATGAGGGGGGAGGCATGAAGGGGTGGGGGAGAATAACTTTGGGACGACGTTTCTCTTCATTTACTGAAAATCGCACTTTTCTCAATTCATATTTCCCTTCAGTTTCAAGGTGCAATGCCGTGAAAGAGGGAGGCGTTCACAATGAGAACCGTCAAATGTGTGCTGGTGGGAGACGAAAACGTCGACAAACGGGAATTATTCATCAAATACATGAGCTTGTTGAATTCTGAGGTGGAAACAGCGACGGAAACAGAGGAACAGGAAAATCCCAACACGGCGAACCAGCTGCATTGCAACGAATCAACCGATGTTTTTGAAAACGGAGATGTCGCTCATGTTAATAACAGAGAAGGATTAGACGGTGAAGGAATTCACAACAATCATCCAAATTTCAGAGTAATCCACCATCGCGATTCGGAGAACGCCAGTGTGTCGAGCGTAGACCAGGACTCTATCGACCAGTGGTCTGGCGCGGTTACCGTAGCCGGCAAACATTACTTTTTGGACCTCCGTGATGCTCACTGCCAGGAGGCGTTTGACAGCATCCGCCCAGAGGCCTACAATGACACGGACGTTTTTCTTGTGTGTTTTTCTGTTGTAAGGTCAAGCTCTTGGGAGAACGCATTGAACAAGTGGATACCTGAAATTCAGCATTACCGTCCTGTTACCCCGTTCATACTGGTAGGCACCCAGACTGAATGGCGCGACCTGTGGGATGAGAAAGACACGTCGAAAAAACCGGTTTTCTCGGTTACAGGAACCGGTTATGCGCAGCAGGTGGGCGCTGTTAAGTATCTAGAATTCGCCACCGGCGACAATGACGTCAGAGAGATTCTCAATGCGGCTGTGTTGGTCAGCATCATGGACAGAATGGCACTGTCTACATTTCATCCCGACTTTGACAAAGATGGCTTTACTTTGCTTCACCGAGCCGCAAAACTCAATCATATTCCTTCTCTGGAAGCTCTCGTGGACTCCATTGATGTGAACGCCAAGGACAAAGATTTACAAACTGCATTAGATATAGCGGTGAAGGAAAACAATTTAAATGCAATACGATTTCTTCTCGAAAGCGGCTGCGAATTTCCCAACCCACCCGACTCTTGGAAGAAATGCTGCGAGTTCTGGGTCAGTGACGAAGGTGAAGACTCGGAGCGCGTCGTGAATAGCGACATTGCCGAATTCACCCGACAACTGACATTTTTTTACACGACCGCGTCGCCCCGCCCACTCGCAAGAATTCTTCTGATTGGTCAAAACGGAACGGATGTGGCGAAGTTTGTGAACGAGACTGTGCCGATCTTACCCGTTCGGTCGCTGACCATTGTGAATTCAGAGGGACCAGCTCTGTTTGACTTTTCGCGTGTCCAGTCTTCTTTAGAATCTCTAACGATGACAAACTGCGATCTCGGTTCTGCGGAGTTGCCAGGCACCTTGTACACAGTGGCGAGTCTCAAGAGTTTGAGTGTGATTAAATCGGGAGTATCACGGCTTTCTGAACAGCTTGGCGAGCTGAAAAGTATGCAGCGCCTGCGTTTGAGCGGGAACAAGATTCGGAAACTACCCGACACGATTTCCCGGCTACAGAAGTTGAAATTTGTTCACTGTGATCACAATGCGCTGGATAATCTTCCCGATACCCTTGGTTGTTTGGGGTCGCTAGAGGGCCTGGACTTCACTCATAACAAATTGGAGAAACTGTCGGCATCGCTGGGCCTGCTGACCAATTTGCGAAATCTTTGGTTCGAGAGAAATCGCCTGAAATTTCCGCCCGCTCACATCCTCAACAAAGGAACTGAGAGCATTTTGGAGTTTCTTAGTGATTTCTTAGACGATCCAGTGGCCAACAATCAGATCAAAATGGTTCTCGTGGGAGGAAGCAAGGTGGGCAAGAGTACACTAGTGAAGGCTCTAAGTCACTCCAAAGACTGGCGAATTAGCGGAGTCGGTCCAATTTCCAAGACAGATGGGGTCCAGATATCCTCTATGAATCTAATGCGTTCTAAATTGAAAGTATTTGACTTGGCAGGGGACGAAGCCTTATTCAGCTCGCATCACTTCTTCCTGTCAGAGAACACTCTTTACCAAGTCGTTTTTGATATGAGCGCGTACACGGTCAGCAAGACTTCGTTGCAAATTAACCAGCTTGGCAGGTTAGAACTTTGGCTTCAAGTTATCTTCTCTAGAGCTCCGAACTCTCACGTGCTTCTCGTCGGTACTCACGCCGACGACCCGAAAATCACCGACGACATACGAACGCGCATTCGTCGAGACATCGAGGCGCTCTTGAGCAAGTATCGTCGTGAGCATAGACGGCAGTTTGAAGGAGAAGCTGTACCTCAATGTGGCCTTTGCGAAGGGACCCTCATCAGCGAGGGCTCAGCTACTGGCTCGTTGTTTTATGTTCAGGATCAAGGACCTCCTCATGCTCCTGGTCTCGCGCCTGAACCCTGCATTCCTCACGTAGTAGGCTACTATGAAGTCAGCTGTCAGGGCCAGTTTCCCAAAAACTTCCTCAGTTCTAAGAATCGGAGCGTGCAGAAGTTTAAAGTGGGAGTGGGCTCCAGCGCCCACATTCTTCTCAGCACGAAAGTCAGTTCCCGTATCCCGCAGAAATGCTTGTACGTGCGGGACAGAATACACGAAATGTGCAACGCAGAGAATGAATTGAAGAACTGGCCGCTTCTTACTTACGACCGCCTGCGCGAGATTGCGCACGGATGCGGAGTAAAGCAAGACTTCAAACTCAAGGCTCTCATGACGTATTTTCACTCGCAGGGAGAAATCCTCTGGTACGAAGATATGCCAGGCGTTGGTGATGTGATCTTTATTGATCCTTCCTGGTTGTCGAAACAGATGTGTCTTCTCGTCGGCTCGCCTTCTGGCGCCAGCTCGGGACTTGACGGAATATTGCGGATTGACAACCTGGCCAAGACTTGGCCTGACGTTCCCGAAGGACAGCGGTTTTCCATGCTGACTTTGTTCAGAGATCTCGGATTGTGTTTCCCTCTTTCCGAGACAGAAGATGTTGTTCCATTCCAACTTCCCATCGGCCGACCTGACGAGGACACATGGCCAGGGCAGCCTTCGGAAGATCAGCGGCAGATCAGCTGTGAGTTTCATTTCAGTTTTCTTCCTCCAACTTTCTTTAGTGACCTCACAGTTGCCATTAACAGGCGGGAGCTGCCGAATAGCTTCGACGTCGAACCAACATTCTACCGCTTCCACATGGTCTTTGCGACAACGTCCATCGCCAGAATGGGTTGTTCGCTCCATTGTAATGAAATCTCGGCTCATCCTTTGGCAGAGAACCTGAACGTGCACTGTGTTAGCATCGAAGGTGTCCCGTGCGAGAACAAGTTGAAGGTGATCATACGAGGAAAGTTCCCTTGCTGTATTCTTCCTGATGTGAGAGCTGCCATCAAGACTGTTGTGGACACGCGCTATCCTGGAATACGCTACATCAGACGGATTGTATGTTCCGCTTGTGAACTCGCGGCGTTCAAGAATCCCGCGCTTCTGACAGAACTCGTTAGCGACGGCAGTAACTGTTGTTCGTGGGGGCACATTCTAGGAACCGAAGCGGAAATCGTGGCTGGTGATCTACCTGTAGACCCTGTTCCGTCTGAGTTACCAGTGAAAGGCGCTATCAGGTCGGGGGTGTTTTTTGGCGAGGCTGGTCAAATCCTAGATGACTGCTACTGCCCCAGGCTTCCTGCGGTCTTCCCGATCGGTTTTCACAGCGCGCCGTTCAAAAAGCGCCTTCGTGTCAACTCACCAATTAAAGATGGCTACTCAGTACATTTCTTGTGCGAATGTCCCGGATATTGGCATTTAACTGAGGGTCCAGGCTTCCGCATACCAAACATCCGAGCATTCCTGGAGGTCTTCGGGGCGCGTGTATGCAAGCTCTTGAAACTCGCTTTCATGTTGCGAGAGGATGACACTGAGGACGGGTCCAGTGAGTCACGTGTTCCGGTGAAGATCGTCTTGGGTGACGCAAAGTTTCGTGACATCCTCATCACAGACATCCAAGATTTGCTAGAACACTACTTCGTGGAATTTCCTGAACTGAAGAATAGCTACATGGGTTTCATGCAAGAGGATTTAGACTTCATGCAGAGCTACCAAGGAGTCAGCCGTGGTAAGACCTGCAAACTGCTGGAGATCTCACCGGACTGGTGGAGACTGGGTCCGCTTGTCTGCACTTACAACAACCGGACCAATGAACATCTCTGGCTCTGTGAGAAGCATGCGCTGTAAGACGAGTTGCGTGGACACTTGAAAGGAACAAGTCACGCTACCACACCTTTTATCGGGCCGCGACTCTGTTTAAATTAATCTTAAATTTGAACGCCATGAATAGCTTAAATAGTCTATATGTGGCCGTTGTTTTTTATCTACTTCAAGGAATATAGATATTCGTAGATGTAACAACTAATGCCAAAGTTTCCAACACGAGGTTCTAAACGGTGACTCTATTTAACAGAGTAGTAAACTTTATAAAGTCACCTGAAAAAGGGACGATTCTTCCCCGTTACCATAGTCTTTTTTGATAACGCTTTTCAGTTTTTTGTAAATACAAACGTCAACCAGGTCTCCTAGGAACCTCAAAGGAAACTTAAAATTCAATAAACACACTATTAGCACTATTAGCACTATTAGCACTGTAGTCACACTATTAGCACGAGCAATTAGCTTTTTCTTTTATTACTCTCGCTGCATTATTAAGAGGATATTCACGAGTTACCTTCCGCCCTGTGTCAAAGTGAGTCTTCGTGCAAGACTATTCATATCAAACTGTGTTTCATCTGTGTTCATTTTACATGAGGACTCGTTTTGAAACAGAGGCAAAAGGCTCTCATAGTCGCGGAAATAAGAGCGACCCGCTTAAATATCGCGGACGCAGACATTCCGAAAAGGTGCATCCCGCTCCGCTCCCTCCGATATTGAATTATTATTCCATCATTGAATTATTATTATTATTATTATACCAAGAATGTTGTCCAGATGAAATGAAGCTGTATCGTCAACGGTGACGATAGAGGGTATATTTTTCAAAAATTGAATTTGCAAATCGAGTGAGAATTTTGAGCTCATTTTTACGGGTTGAATTTGTAATATATTGTTTTTGCAAATATGTTAGTTTTTTAACAAAATGTATTCTTGTAAAGACTTTTGTTTAATACTGAATATTCAGAAATTTCTAGTCATTGTGGAATTGTGGGTCAGACAATAGCTTGCAACAATTGATTGCGATTTTTTGAAGTGGTTTGTGGTGTGATTTATGACTTTTATACTTCCCTTCATTAATAGGCCACGCTCGATATATCAATGTTCTAACATGGCTACGAGGCTTTCAGGACAAACATGATATTTGGTGGTATTTTATATGTATCCATATCTCTTTTGGGAATTGTGAGACTATAGAAACTTGCAATTTTGACCCGAAAGCCTCGGATCCATGTTAGAATATTGATATATCGAACATGGCCTATTGTTAAATGGGCAAACATGGTGTTTTATGACGCCAATTAAGGACAAAGCAAACCCCGGGAGCGAAGTTGAGCTTAAGCCATTTTCCTGCGGTGTGCACGAGTGGCAAATTGTACAGTGCCTCGAACTCCATATGTAGCCGGCTATAAATCCATTTTTCATTATTCCATTCTTGTCACAGCAGTCATTCGCCCCTGTAGCTTGATTTGAACTGAGTTATTGAAACTGACGTGGTATGCTTCAACCTTACCCTGCCACCCTTCAAAGCGCGCTTTTTCACTTTGCTCTGACGTGAGGTGTATTCTGACCAATGAGAACAGAGATTTGTCTTTCAACAAGAATCACGGCGAACCCTATTTTAGCCTGAAACTAAACGTTTTCCCGCGCTACCTGTGTAGCACGTGATAACGCGATACAGAAGGTTTTGCCTGAAATCTAACAGCTAAATTCATTCCCGCAATTTTTCTGTTCTTCAGTGCAATTCTAATCTGGGAAAACATCCCATAACAGAAATATATCACAGGTACAAAAATCCTTATTTACAATAACAACGTAAAATCCTGCGTAGAAAAATCTATATTTCACCCAAGTTACTCTAAAAAGATTCTTAGTCCTTATATGTAATTGCTGCCTACTGAGACTGTAGGATATTTAGGTTCTTATTTCATAAGAGGAAAACGTGTTTGCTTTTGCTGCAACAAGTCTACATGGGTGTTGCCTTTCTTCCCCCTTATGTGAACCGAATATGTAGTCGGGACTTGCCATAGGAATTCTAGTTTATGTTTTGTATTCGTAGTTTTGGTTCGTATTTTTAAACCAGTCACGGTTTTAATTTTTAGGCTCAACAGGTTCCTAAAAATGAGGTTTCGCACGCTAAAATTGTAGCCTAAGGGTTTCGTATCATAAGGTTTTAACAAAATTTTAGCTCTAAGTCAGCACTTAAAGAAGCTTTCGTATCGAAGAAATCCATTTATCTTTCAAAGAAAAGTCAAAATGTCACCTTGAGTCACAGCCAATCTGTAAAAGAATCACGTCAAAGGGGATTCAAGCAAAATTAAGTGACTAATCGGCATAAAGAATGTTGCTGGTTATATAACCATAACTAAGATTAAATATATTGCAATTATTTTCCAGCGGCTGCAAATATTCACAGTTTTCACAAATAGCTCACGACAAAGTGATTCATGTCTTTCCATTTGTTGGTGGCCTCAGTCAAAAATTCCCTTACCGCACGCCCGTGCGTAATGTATCCCATGGGACACGATCTTAATTGCTGATTCACTATGCAAAAAGTCTTTAAGTATTCTATGACCCGGGAATTCTGGAAACTTCAGTTTGAACACAGTTTGAAGCTTGTCCAAAGTGAACAGAAATGAAAATGAGAATGGTAACCCGAGAACCAGTTGAAGTGATACCAAGGGTGGATGTCAAGGATGTTAAAGTTATACGCCTCTTGGGGGCTGGCGGGTTCGGTTCCGTCTTCGAAGCTATGCACAACAATTGCAAAGTAGCCCTGAAGAAATTTCACACCAACACTCGCAATAAGAAAGCTGCGATGCAGAGCTTTGAGGCCGAGATGCATCACGAAGTCTTGTCTCTCAAGCATCCTCACATCGTCCGTGTTTTGGCAGCGAACACCGCAAAAACCTTGGAAGACCAGCCTTGTATCATCATGGAGTTTGTAAGCACCAGAAACCTTCAGCATGTTCTTGACGACGCCGACGAAAAGATCGATTTTAAACGACGCGTTCGGTTTGCATATGAGGTGGCTCTGGCGCTGGAATATGTGCATAGCAATAACATCGCACATCTCGACTTGAAACCTGCCAACGTTCTGATTGCGCAGGATGATAGCTGCAAACTCGCCGACTTCGGGTGTTGTCAGATCATCCAGGAACGACCCAACACCCCCTCCAGATCGTACCTCACCGGAACTTTTGCCTACCGGGCACCGGAGCTTCTTAAAGGAGAAAGCCCAACTTTCAAGGCTGATGTTTTTTCGCTCGGGATCTGCTTGTGGCAATTCTGGACGCGAGAAATTCCGTACAAGTTGCAAAATCACCAGATTGTGATCTTTCAAGTTGTAGCCTGCAATTTGCGTCCGCCGATCCCCAAGGGGAATGACGTCGACAACCGGTACAGGGAACTGATAACGTCATCGTGGTCCGGTAACCCTAGTGACCGTCCTTGCATGCCAGAAGTCGTGAACTTGTTGAAGAGTCTCCGTCCTTGACGCGATATTTACTTTACTGGACAATTTTACTAAATATACCGAGTGCTGGTCACTTGGTTAGTTTAATTTAAGTCGGTTAGAAGTATTACACACAAAAATATATTATATTTATAGATATTTATTTTGAATTTATAAACAGAGGAGAATTATTTATAAGATATATTTTATTATAGAGTATAGTATTAATTACCCGAGAAATTATTTTAGTTATATTTTTGTGAAACGTCGATTAGGGATAGTTGACACCATTGTTATATCAGCAAATTATTATAATCGAGTTAAAATGTAATTATTCTAAATCAGCTTTCCTATATAATTCATGTGTAGAGATTAATGTAATTTCAACGAAGATTTGTTTCCCTTTTCTAAACCTCACATCACGTGCGTCTTTTAACCTAGCACTAAAAACTTGCAAAAGTAAATTTTCTGACATCATCATGGAAACATCATGAAGAAAAGAAAGGTGCTTAAAGCCAAAATAAAGGCAAGCGCCTGCATACTTCTGTTCTCGTGACAACATCAACCTTTTATAGCTTGCTGCTGATTGGCCGAAATTAGTGGGACGTTTGGGCCACAGTTCAGCACAACGGCGGATCCAGGATTTCTCAAGGGGGGGGAAGGGGTGACTGGTACGTTGGGNCGCAGAAATGCTTGTACGTGCGGGACAGAATACACGAAATGTGCAACGCAGAGAATGAATTGAAGAACTGGCCGCTTCTTACTTACGACCGCCTGCGCGAGATTGCGCACGGATGCGGAGTAAAGCAAGACTTCAAACTCAAGGCTCTCATGACGTATTTTCACTCGCAGGGAGAAATCCTCTGGTACGAAGATATGCCAGGCGTTGGTGATGTGATCTTTATTGATCCTTCCTGGTTGTCGAAACAGATGTGTCTTCTCGTCGGCTCGCCTTCTGGCGCCAGCTCGGGACTTGACGGAATATTGCGGATTGACAACCTGGCCAAGACTTGGCCTGACGTTCCCGAAGGACAGCGGTTTTCCATGCTGACTTTGTTCAGAGATCTCGGATTGTGTTTCCCTCTTTCCGAGACAGAAGATGTTGTTCCATTCCAACTTCCCATCGGCCGACCTGACGAGGACACATGGCCAGGGCAGCCTTCGGAAGATCAGCGGCAGATCAGCTGTGAGTTTCATTTCAGTTTTCTTCCTCCAACTTTCTTTAGTGACCTCACAGTTGCCATTAACAGGCGGGAGCTGCCGAATAGCTTCGACGTCGAACCAACATTCTACCGCTTCCACATGGTCTTTGCGACAACGTCCATCGCCAGAATGGGTTGTTCGCTCCATTGTAATGAAATCTCGGCTCATCCTTTGGCAGAGAACCTGAACGTGCACTGTGTTAGCATCGAAGGTGTCCCGTGCGAGAACAAGTTGAAGGTGATCATACGAGGAAAGTTCCCTTGCTGTATTCTTCCTGATGTGAGAGCTGCCATCAAGACTGTTGTGGACACGCGCTATCCTGGAATACGCTACATCAGACGGATTGTATGTTCCGCTTGTGAACTCGCGGCGTTCAAGAATCCCGCGCTTCTGACAGAACTCGTTAGCGACGGCAGTAACTGTTGTTCGTGGGGGCACATTCTAGGAACCGAAGCGGAAATCGTGGCTGGTGATCTACCTGTAGACCCTGTTCCGTCTGAGTTACCAGTGAAAGGCGCTATCAGGTCGGGGGTGTTTTTTGGCGAGGCTGGTCAAATCCTAGATGACTGCTACTGCCCCAGGCTTCCTGCGGTCTTCCCGATCGGTTTTCACAGCGCGCCGTTCAAAAAGCGCCTTCGTGTCAACTCACCAATTAAAGATGGCTACTCAGTACATTTCTTGTGCGAATGTCCCGGATATTGGCATTTAACTGAGGGTCCAGGCTTCCGCATACCAAACATCCGAGCATTCCTGGAGGTCTTCGGGGCGCGTGTATGCAAGCTCTTGAAACTCGCTTTCATGTTGCGAGAGGATGACACTGAGGACGGGTCCAGTGAGTCACGTGTTCCGGTGAAGATCGTCTTGGGTGACGCAAAGTTTCGTGACATCCTCATCACAGACATCCAAGATTTGCTAGAACACTACTTCGTGGAATTTCCTGAACTGAAGAATAGCTACATGGGTTTCATGCAAGAGGATTTAGACTTCATGCAGAGCTACCAAGGAGTCAGCCGTGGTAAGACCTGCAAACTGCTGGAGATCTCACCGGACTGGTGGAGACTGGGTCCGCTTGTCTGCACTTACAACAACCGGACCAATGAACATCTCTGGCTCTGTGAGAAGCATGCGCTGTAAGACGAGTTGCGTGGACACTTGAAAGGAACAAGTCACGCTACCACACCTTTTATCGGGCCGCGACTCTGTTTAAATTAATCTTAAATTTGAACGCCATGAATAGCTTAAATAGTCTATATGTGGCCGTTGTTTTTTATCTACTTCAAGGAATATAGATATTCGTAGATGTAACAACTAATGCCAAAGTTTCCAACACGAGGTTCTAAACGGTGACTCTATTTAACAGAGTAGTAAACTTTATAAAGTCACCTGAAAAAGGGACGATTCTTCCCCGTTACCATAGTCTTTTTTGATAACGCTTTTCAGTTTTTTGTAAATACAAACGTCAACCAGGTCTCCTAGGAACCTCAAAGGAAACTTAAAATTCAATAAACACACTATTAGCACTATTAGCACTATTAGCACTGTAGTCACACTATTAGCACGAGCAATTAGCTTTTTCTTTTATTACTCTCGCTGCATTATTAAGAGGATATTCACGAGTTACCTTCCGCCCTGTGTCAAAGTGAGTCTTCGTGCAAGACTATTCATATCAAACTGTGTTTCATCTGTGTTCATTTTACATGAGGACTCGTTTTGAAACAGAGGCAAAAGGCTCTCATAGTCGCGGAAATAAGAGCGACCCGCTTAAATATCGCGGACGCAGACATTCCGAAAAGGTGCATCCCGCTCCGCTCCCTCCGATATTGAATTATTATTCCATCATTGAATTATTATTATTATTATTATACCAAGAATGTTGTCCAGATGAAATGAAGCTGTATCGTCAACGGTGACGATAGAGGGTATATTTTTCAAAAATTGAATTTGCAAATCGAGTGAGAATTTTGAGCTCATTTTTACGGGTTGAATTTGTAATATATTGTTTTTGCAAATATGTTAGTTTTTTAACAAAATGTATTCTTGTAAAGACTTTTGTTTAATACTGAATATTCAGAAATTTCTAGTCATTGTGGAATTGTGGGTCAGACAATAGCTTGCAACAATTGATTGCGATTTTTTGAAGTGGTTTGTGGTGTGATTTATGACTTTTATACTTCCCTTCATTAATAGGCCACGCTCGATATATCAATGTTCTAACATGGCTACGAGGCTTTCAGGACAAACATGATATTTGGTGGTATTTTATATGTATCCATATCTCTTTTGGGAATTGTGAGACTATAGAAACTTGCAATTTTGACCCGAAAGCCTCGGATCCATGTTAGAATATTGATATATCGAACATGGCCTATTGTTAAATGGGCAAACATGGTGTTTTATGACGCCAATTAAGGACAAAGCAAACCCCGGGAGCGAAGTTGAGCTTAAGCCATTTTCCTGCGGTGTGCACGAGTGGCAAATTGTACAGTGCCTCGAACTCCATATGTAGCCGGCTATAAATCCATTTTTCATTATTCCATTCTTGTCACAGCAGTCATTCGCCCCTGTAGCTTGATTTGAACTGAGTTATTGAAACTGACGTGGTATGCTTCAACCTTACCCTGCCACCCTTCAAAGCGCGCTTTTTCACTTTGCTCTGACGTGAGGTGTATTCTGACCAATGAGAACAGAGATTTGTCTTTCAACAAGAATCACGGCGAACCCTATTTTAGCCTGAAACTAAACGTTTTCCCGCGCTACCTGTGTAGCACGTGATAACGCGATACAGAAGGTTTTGCCTGAAATCTAACAGCTAAATTCATTCCCGCAATTTTTCTGTTCTTCAGTGCAATTCTAATCTGGGAAAACATCCCATAACAGAAATATATCACAGGTACAAAAATCCTTATTTACAATAACAACGTAAAATCCTGCGTAGAAAAATCTATATTTCACCCAAGTTACTCTAAAAAGATTCTTAGTCCTTATATGTAATTGCTGCCTACTGAGACTGTAGGATATTTAGGTTCTTATTTCATAAGAGGAAAACGTGTTTGCTTTTGCTGCAACAAGTCTACATGGGTGTTGCCTTTCTTCCCCCTTATGTGAACCGAATATGTAGTCGGGACTTGCCATAGGAATTCTAGTTTATGTTTTGTATTCGTAGTTTTGGTTCGTATTTTTAAACCAGTCACGGTTTTAATTTTTAGGCTCAACAGGTTCCTAAAAATGAGGTTTCGCACGCTAAAATTGTAGCCTAAGGGTTTCGTATCATAAGGTTTTAACAAAATTTTAGCTCTAAGTCAGCACTTAAAGAAGCTTTCGTATCGAAGAAATCCATTTATCTTTCAAAGAAAAGTCAAAATGTCACCTTGAGTCACAGCCAATCTGTAAAAGAATCACGTCAAAGGGGATTCAAGCAAAATTAAGTGACTAATCGGCATAAAGAATGTTGCTGGTTATATAACCATAACTAAGATTAAATATATTGCAATTATTTTCCAGCGGCTGCAAATATTCACAGTTTTCACAAATAGCTCACGACAAAGTGATTCATGTCTTTCCATTTGTTGGTGGCCTCAGTCAAAAATTCCCTTACCGCACGCCCGTGCGTAATGTATCCCATGGGACACGATCTTAATTGCTGATTCACTATGCAAAAAGTCTTTAAGTATTCTATGACCCGGGAATTCTGGAAACTTCAGTTTGAACACAGTTTGAAGCTTGTCCAAAGTGAACAGAAATGAAAATGAGAATGGTAACCCGAGAACCAGTTGAAGTGATACCAAGGGTGGATGTCAAGGATGTTAAAGTTATACGCCTCTTGGGGGCTGGCGGGTTCGGTTCCGTCTTCGAAGCTATGCACAACAATTGCAAAGTAGCCCTAAAGAAATTTCACACCAACACTCGCAATAAGAAAGCTGCGATGCAGAGCTTTGAGGCCGAGATGCATCACGAAGTCTTGTCTCTCAAGCATCCTCACATCGTCCGTGTTTTGGCAGCGAACACCGCAAAAACCTTGGAAGACCAGCCTTGTATCATCATGGAGTTTGTAAGCACCAGAAACCTTCAGCATGTTCTTGACGACGCCGACGAAAAGATCGATTTTAAACGACGCGTTCGGTTTGCATATGAGGTGGCTCTGGCGCTGGAATATGTGCATAGCAATAACATCGCACATCTCGACTTGAAACCTGCCAACGTTCTGATTGCGCAGGATGATAGCTGCAAACTCGCCGACTTCGGGTGTTGTCAGATCATCCAGGAACGACCCAACACCCCCTCCAGATCGTACCTCACCGGAACTTTTGCCTACCGGGCACCGGAGCTTCTTAAAGGAGAAAGCCCAACTTTCAAGGCTGATGTTTTTTCGCTCGGGATCTGCTTGTGGCAATTCTGGACGCGAGAAATTCCGTACAAGTTGCAAAATCACCAGATTGTGATCTTTCAAGTTGTAGCCTGCAATTTGCGTCCGCCGATCCCCAAGGGGAATGACGTCGACAACCGGTACAGGGAACTGATAACGTCATCGTGGTCCGGTAACCCTAGTGACCGTCCTTGCATGCCAGAAGTCGTGAACTTGTTGAAGAGTCTCCGTCCTTGACGCGATATTTACTTTACTGGACAATTTTACTAAATATACCGAGTGCTGGTCACTTGGTTAGTTTAATTTAAGTCGGTTAGAAGTATTACACACAAAAATATATTATATTTATAGATATTTATTTTGAATTTATAAACAGAGGAGAATTATTTATAAGATATATTTTATTATAGAGTATAGTATTAATTACCCGAGAAATTATTTTAGTTATATTTTTGTGAAACGTCGATTAGGGATAGTTGACACCATTGTTATATCAGCAAATTATTATAATCGAGTTAAAATGTAATTATTCTAAATCAGCTTTCCTATATAATTCATGTGTAGAGATTAATGTAATTTCAACGAAGATTTGTTTCCCTTTTCTAAACCTCACATCACGTGCGTCTTTTAACCTAGCACTAAAAACTTGCAAAAGTAAATTTTCTGACATCATCATGGAAACATCATGAAGAAAAGAAAGGTGCTTAAAGCCAAAATAAAGGCAAGCGCCTGCATATTTCTGTTCTCGTGACAACATCAACCTCTTATAGCTTGCTGCTGATTGGCCGAAATTAGTGGGACGTTTGGGCCACAGTTCAGCACAAAGGCGGATACAGGATTTCTCAAGGGGGGGGGGAAGGGGTGACTGGTACGTTGGGAGTTGCAGAATCAACAGGACATGTCTAGAAAATGTTGCTATTTGAGAATTGGTGCCTATAATTTAAAACTGTCGCACCAGAAATACTGGCAATGCCACAAAGTAGAAATTACAATGACGTACCTTTCCAGAGTGTTTTCCTTTATTTCTGTCATAATGTTCACAATCTTTTTTTGCTTCTTGAAAAGGGGGATATCTAGCCAACCAATCTACCCTCTCCTTCCCACCTAAAACCACCCATGCAGGAGCCGGATGTAAGAGCAGACATGGACCGAACACACTGTAAACACGTGACAAAAAAGTCCAAAGATTTCATAATCCGGCTCGACCACCTTAATTGCTAACGGTTTTTGAGCTTTGAGCTTTTTTTGTTTGGGTTATTGTAAAACGTATTTATAAATAAAATACTCGAGACATAAGCTTATCTCATTTAAAGAGTACTGCGTGAGATCGAGAGGAAACAATCAGGTTTCGGGAGCAATCAGACAGCATTTTGTTTTTAATATAGCTTTTTCTAACAATTTTTGTTTTTATACAGCGTGGCAAACTGTCCTGATAACCATTGACGTGATCGATGTACATGTAACTTTTCTCAATCGAGGAACAGGCGGAAGGTGCTATCACTTTCTGTTCCCAGGTCTGCAATGGGCATAACCTCACGTAACATAAAATTCTTGAAGGGCACAAAACATCATTATAACCCAATCACGTTTTCTAACACCCCTCTTCAGCAGAGGCGGAAGAAATTGTATAAGCTGATATTATTCCACACGAAAAGGAAACGAACTTACGCTTCTAAATCTTTTGTCGTCAGGCGTTCAGACTTTTGCCTCAGTAAAAGCTGGGTAGGAATCTTTTGTGCGTGGTGATTGGATAATTTGCGTATGACGTAATGACCTCGGAAGACAAAGAACCTTGTCGATTTCGTCGTGTTCACGCGCGTGAATAGTCTCTCTTTGGAGCACTAGATCAGTGCTTCTTTACTCAGCCATTTGGCTCCAAAGCCACTGTTATCCTTGTTTTCTTTGGCCGCCATTCTGGCTTGCTAACCCAGGAATCAATCCCGGGACTGATTTTATCGGAAACAGTCACCATTGCCCAGCAGGTTAGACAGTGCTAGTGGAATTTTTTCGCGTTGAGAAATTAACCTTCGATTTGCCACGAGTTTGTAGTGAATTAAAATACAAGCGTGAGTTTTTCCTTCCAGTTTAGATGTTAATAGCTGTTGTTTCTTTTGTGTTTTTCTGCAGTGGGACTGTAGATCCTGACCGGCCAACGGACCAGATTTCAAGAATATGGACAAGATTAATGGGCCGCCTGGAACTGGCGAAAGCCACGGGCAAGAAATCCTTCAAGGGTCTATATACAGCGATGGAGGGTACATCCCACAAGAAGATTTGAATAACCACTTCGAAGAAGACGAAGGATTGGACTTGGAAGGATACCAGCCAACGTATGCTGAAGCGTTTCCTCCTCTACCCAGCGCTCATGTGCAAAATTCGACTCAAAACGACACTGGATCAAAATGGCGAACAGCAACAGGACCAATTCGTTCGACCACTGTGACACAGGTATAACTGGAATTTATAAAAGGCAAAAAGGAAATTAACACAGTCATGGTTCCGTAAACGATCTTAAACTCAATTTTTCCATAGTGTGGTTTGTTTCATTTACAAATTTGTTTGGTGTGTGTGCTGTTTAGAAGGCCTTTCTGGAGTAAGCTTCGCGCGTGAAAATTGATACAACTATAAGTTTATTCAAGGTCGGCTTTGTGTCTTTCTCTTTGTCCACGGCCACCGAATTATCTCTTATTTTCTTCTGAGTTACATAACATTTAAAAGTCGAAGAAATAAAACTTATGGGTCATGTAGGCATATTATAGCCTTTATTAGTGACTTAAGGAACGTTTCTATTTTAGACAATTAAATTTTGCGTTGGTGTTTGCATGGCCACGTTTACATGTCTCCGATAGGCCGTGATTCTTGTTGATGTGCAAAAGAATTGTTCCACCAAAGAATTCCTATAAATAGTATCAAAGAAAGCGTGTTGTTTGTGTATTTAGACGTTTTTCCCTCGATTTTTTTAACAGGCTTAATATTTTTCTGCCCTATTCTGGACAGAAGCGAGTTTAGTTTTCAACTATTCGAAACATCAATAATTCACGTGATATTTTCTTTAATTCCTGCTTTTACAGTTGGTAAAATGTTGACATTCTTTCATAACGCATCTTTCGAGTGGTAGAGTCATGGACTAGAGATTTCGGTTTTGCTTGTTGAACACAGAAAGGGGAAAAGCTATAAATATTTCTCGAACAGTCATTAAAGCAGTTACATTGTAAGTCGCACTTTCTGAATTCACTCAGAAGTTAATATCGTGTTTTATACAATATTCCAGTTAAACATCCATCTCGTGTCTTTCCATATCATTTGTAGTTTTTAAGTTCTTAACAGCTCTTATTAACCTTGCATTGAAAAAATTAAACTGGCTCTCGTTACAAATTTGTAGTTTTCAAGTTCGTAGAACCCATTGTGATGAAAATGGCCAATTTACATAGATGACAATTTGACGTCCGGATATATTGAATTTCTCCTGGTTTCAACGTGTCACACAAAACGGTCCCACGAGATATAGAAACAAATGCCACTCTCGGCTAAAAACTTCATGAGTTTAACTTCTTTTCCCTTAAACCGTCCCGAATATTGTCAGTTTTTCAGTCTCGCTCAGAAAATAAATTTTGTGAGCAGTGTTGGTACCTTGTTTCCTTGTAACTGAAAAGATCAATTTCTTTACTAGCCGAGCGGTCGAGTTGGGAATTTTTTTTTTTTGCTTACTTCATTTAATATGGTCGTTTTAAATAGCTGTGTTCAGTGTTTATTTCAATGCTTTTTTTTATTTTCTCTGAGAATAGTCAAATTTTTAGATGTACATGTATTCTTTTGAGTGGCTTGGTTTGGGATCATTGCAATTAATTTGCCACTTTATATCTGCAGTTTTGCTTTATAAAACATTTTCTTATTCCTGATGATAGGAAAAAAATATTGTTGTTAGTATATCAGTCTTGTAGACAGATGGAAAATGATCCCAAATTAATCCATGAAAAAAAGGATCCCAAAATCAGGTACCATTGATGAAAGGTTGGTAATGTTAGTAACAGAGTGAAAATTAACATAAAAAAAGTTCTTTTTCAAAAGCACTAAACCAGGTGATTAAATAAGCAATACCATTAAATTTTTCCACACTGGCTCAGTTTCCCAGGCAGCACATCGTAAATCTATTGTTCTGGTCATAGAATATTGTTGAAAAAAAAATTCTGAAAAAATACTGTACTGAAAAACTTCTTGAGTCGGTCTTGTTTTTTTCTATGGATCTTCATCATTTTTTTGCCCTGTAATTTTAATTAATTTCTAAATGTTCTCCTAATATGCTGCATCAAAGAGCATTTGAGTGAACAAAGGTTCCATGATTTCCAAGGAGAGGCAATTGCTTTCAAGAATGTCTTTGGTTACTGTAACTAGCTTAAACCCCAGCGGTAATTTAAAACTGTCTTCTCGTTGTCTTTCCATGATAACTTTTCTTCATATGTGTAACCGGAACCAAGCCTTTAGCATATCTTGAAAGTTTTCTCTTTCTTATCAGCCAAAGTCTCTGAGTTAGAATAGCAATTTTGTTAAAGTTAATATGGTTTTGATAGTGACTTAAGATTGAAGTTTATGAGATAAATAATTATTAGAGAACTTAAAATTCTAGAACCTGTGTAGTGCAAGCTGTGAAGTGCATTGAACAACACAAAAGGCATCAGGCATCTGTTTTGAGTTACTGTAATCAAAGAGACTGTGGCTAGTTACTTCATGCAAAAGACAATTCAGGAGAGATTCACATATGCCCTTGCCACCTCCCACCATATCCACTGTTAGCTCCATCTGCTTTTCAAATGGCTAATAGAGGATAAATTTCATTTGTTTAAAGCAGCTATGTTACAAATCTAATAACTATTTTTGTGATGGACAAAATTACTGAATTGTATGTTCAAATTGAATTCACTGGGCAAGAAAAGCATCTGTAAAGTTGTTATAACAAAAGCTAAATAAAAAACAGTTGACCTAGACTGGGGTAGGTATAGAGAAGGAGCATGTACATGTTCTAAGAATTTCTATAAAACTACTTTGTTTTGTTGCAAATTTAAGTGAGATTTATTGCCTGCATGCCTCAACAATGATGTACTCAAATGAAACTAGAACCCCTGATAGAACTAGTTGATACTGTTTTATCAGTGTTTTAATTGCATGTGATACTATTATGTAATCAAACCACATCAAAGCCCCCCCTCCTCCCCTCCCCCATCCCAGTCAGTGTTTTTTTTTTT